GCTAAGATCATTGCATTAAAGAATGTTAGTGCTGTCGACGAAGCTACCAGTCGACCGACTAACCCGTGCGAGGGAGGTATAATGGACCAAATTGTTGATTATCATCAGTGCAAAGGGCATTCTCAACTGATGAATTGTTCAAATTAAGGCACGATATTCAGGGATTTGATTGACAGTGGAAGTTACCAAGCCTTTCGACAAGTGCAGCCAAGTACCAAGAACAAACCAAGAACAACCCGCTTCCCCAATATCAATACAATTATCCGTCCCGTAAGACTCAGTCGGGTGGATCAGTCAATGCAATTGGGAGTGGATTGCCGGAAGAAGTGGTATTGGCGGAAGCGGAATGGGAAGAGCGAATGTGCGCAATGTTGAACATATGGGATGACTGCAGTAGCGATGAGGAAGAGAGGGTGCCAGTAAAGATCGAAATCGAGAAAAGCATCACGGTGCAGGTGGGTGATGTGTCGGAGGATGAAGATGAACAGCTCCAGCTTGCAATTCAAAATAGCTTAGCCGACCAAGAAGAATAGTGGTACTACAGTAGTGAGGAGGAAGTGAATGAAGTAGGTGTTCAGAGCTTGACCTGGAGTGGGCGAGTATACAATCCCGAGAGTAGTATGCAGGCTAAGGGAAAAGAGGTTAGTTGTGGATGGAATAAAGAAAAAGAATGACAAGAAAGGCGGAAGGAGGAGCCGAAAGAAAGAAAGAAGAAAGAGGAAGAAAGATAATGAAAGGGCAAAAGAAGAAGACTGTCGAGGGTTGGAGAAACAGTCAGAATAAGCCAACCTAGTGGGGCGACTGCCAATTCAGTACTGAGTTCAGTTGCCAAATAAACGAAGATAGCTGATATTTCGGATATGGGACTTGGCTTGATAGCGTCCAAGGAGCATAGAGAAGCTTTTACTTTGAAGCCATGACTTTTGTTACGTTATACCAAAGCTCAGATCAAAGTGGATATTGTTCAACGTGCCTACAGACAACGAAAATAGGTGAGGTCACTTTCGTTTGACTCGGACCTCCCACCAGAGGAGAGGAAAACCACTGTAAGCCATTGTATAATTCAGATTGCCGTCAATGGACGGGTGATACCCGGAACGTGTGGTCGATAATGGATCCAGCACTTGTGTGTATGCCCGCTGAAGATGCGTTGTCTAAGTTGTTTAAAATTGAAGAGTCTGCAACTTGAGCCATTCAAAATAGGTGCGTCAAAGCTTTATGACAACAACCATGGGAAGGCGAAAGGAAACTTTTAAAGCGAAGCGTACCGCGCGTAGGGCAGTGGAAAGTGGGTAGACGTGGTTGTGCTTGACATTGTAGCCCAACTGCTTGACATTTTAGCCAACTATGCTCTTTTGTTAGGAAGACCCTGGCTCCATCCTTTAAGTGCAATTCCGTCCACCTTGCACAGAAAAGTAAAAATCCCTTGGGGAATAGACGTGGTGACAGTCAATGCACAAGAGGATCTGAGTGTGGCAACAGTGGAAAGTTTAGAGCTGGCGGTACTGTTATCGGGTTTTCAAGTGGCAGGAATCAATGCGCCCCCCACCAAAAGCAAGAGTGCAGTGAATAAAATGAGTCCTTTTTCGAGAAAGATGATGAAGAAGATGAATTGGCAGTACGGCAAAGGTTTGGGCCGGGAGCTACAAGTAATGTTTGAACCACTCTCATCGGCATTGGGACAGCAAGACAAGCGGGGATTAGGGTATTCTGAAGATAGAAAGAAAGAAAAATATGAGGTTCAGTCTCCAATCAGAGGGTCGAATTTGAATCATATCTTCTTCGTTCCAGAAGGCGAAGGAGAATTTCAGAGTAGGGGGAAGACCTACCCCGGCTTGGAGATATTCATGACCGATTATGAGGAGAAGCTGATCAAGTCCCCTGAACCTTCCTTGGAACTTCCTTGGAACAGCTGGTGGATGGAACCGAGTTTACGATGTGTATGACAGAAGCAAGCACCGAATCTGAGCGGTCAAAGCGGATATCTGAGTTTGAAGACTTTTTGGGGATTGGGGATGAAGCTTCCAAGCTATTGCAAGAGCAGAAGGCCAAGGCGCGCATCCTCCAGTCGGTCCTAGCTACTGAAGATGCTGAAGAGGCAGAGAGGAAGGTGTTGAAGATGAAGCTAGCTGAAGAAAAGATAGAAGCCACCCCGGCGGAAGAAGAAGAAGGTGCAGATGTGCCAGATGCAATGAAGTAATCCAGGCAATAAAAGATACTTTGCAATGAATGTAGTTTGAACAGGCATTAATCCTGTATTTTGTTTTTCTGATAGCTTGTTTGAGAACATCATGGATGGTTTTTCCTCTTGATGGTTTCCCTTTATTATTTCAATCAATGGAAGTGAACTTTGACTATTTGTTTTCTTATTTTCCTGATTGTCACGTTCATGGCATTGATTGTACCACGCGCATATTTGACATAAATGCACTGCATCATTTTGCATTTAATTTAAGCACCATTGAAGATCCTAAAATAATCAAAATCCGATCAGACTTTAAACCTGAACATAGACAGGATCTTCAAGAATGTATCAGAAGAAATTCAGAGGTATTTGGCTGGAGCTATGCTGACATGCCAGGAATCGACAGGTCAATAGCAGAGCACTTCATTCCTACTGATCCAAGTGTTAAGCCGGTGAAGCAGAAAAGGAGACGAAAAGGAGAAGGGTCAGACCAGAGTGGCAGGATAAGATCAAAGCTGAAGTCCAGAAGCAGTTGGACGCGGGATTCCTAGAAGTAGTTCACTATCCGGAATGGTTGGCAATTATAGTCCCAGTGCTGAAGAAAGACGGGAGGATAAAGGTCTGTGTTGATTACAGAGACTTGAACAAAGCCTCGCCTAAGAATGACTTTCTACTTTCGCATATAGATGTTTTGATCGACAGTGCTGCCGGAATGGGATGTTATTCTATCATGGATGGATTTTCCGGATACAACCAGATACTGATGGCTTTAGTGGACAGAGCCTTCGCCACGGGACTTTCGAACCTTTTGCTATAGAGTGATGCCATGTTGGACTGTAAGAAGAACGCCGGGGCAACTATACCAGAGAATGGCCACTAACATTATTTCATTGATTATGGATCCATAAAAGGGGTGGAAGTATATGTAGATGACATTGGTGATCATGACAAAAAAAACGCAGGGAAAGAACACGCGGAGATGTTGCGAGAAGTTCTTTTTACGCGGGTTAAGCCAGTATAATTGAGAACTCAATTGAGACTCAATCCCAAGAAGTGTGTATTCAGAGTAACAAAAGGGAAGTTGTTAGGATTCGTCGTAGGACCTAACGGGATTGAGGTTGACCCAGACAAAATAAAGGCCATTCAGGATATGGAATCGCCAAGGACAGAATGTCAGGTGAGAAGCTTCTTGGGTAAAATTCAGTACATCAGCAGGTTTGTTTCTAGGTTATCCATCACTTGTGCTCCAATCTTCAAATTACTCAAGAAGAATCAGCCAGTTAGATGGAATGAAGATTGTCAGAAAGCCTTTGACCACATAAAGAAATACTTGATGAATCCACCGGTGCTTAGTTCACCTAGACCAGGAGAACCTCTAATCTTTTGTTATTTGTCCATAGAAGATTACAGGGAATTGGAGCGATGTTGGTACGGCCGGACGCCGCTGGAGTAGGGAAAAGGCCATCTATTATATTACTAAGAAAACTATTGCCTATCAAAAAGAAATACAAAGAGAAATACAATCTGATTGAGAAAACGTGCATGGCAGTAGTATGGTCAATAAAGAAGTTGAGGCCTTACTTTGATTCCTTCAGGTTCACTTTCATTTCCAAAATTGATCATCTGAAGTATTTGCAGAGAATGCCTACTTTAGAAGGACGGTTGTCCAAATGGTTAATTCAGATGTCTAGTGTGGACGAGGACTTTGTAACAAAGAAAACGATCAAAGGCCGGGCTGTAGCAGAATTCCTGGCAGAGAATCCAATTACAAGTGATGAACCTTGGGAATTGGAATTTCCAGATGAGCACCTACTATGTCTACTATGTGTCGAAACGGGAGCTTGGAAATTGTACTTTGATGGATCAGCCACCAGAAACGGAGCCGGAGCTGGTATTGTAATTGAGGCACCTAATGGCGAGGTTACCACAATATGCAAGAGACTATTGTTCCCGGTTACTAACAACATGGCTGAATACGAAGCATGCATCATGGGGATGGAGGCTCTCCTTGCAGCCGGTGCTAAGGAGGTTGAGGTAATAGGAGATTCTTTATTGGTTATTGAACATGCTAACGAGAGATGGAAAGTACAAGAAGAAAGACTGAAGCCCTATGTTGAGTACTTGTTGAAGAAAGCGGCACTGTTCGACAAGATCACTTTCACTCACATAGGAAGAACTTATAACAGAATTCCAAATGCCTTGGCAAACTTAGCGTCAGCTTGGCAAGATTTGAGTAAAGTTCTGAAGAAACCATTTATCATTACCATAGCCAATATCCCGTGCTACAAAGAACATTTTGTGAACCAGGTAGAATTGGAGGAAGAACCATGGTTCACGGATATTATGAGGTATATGAAGGACGGTACCTTTTCTGATGATGCTACAAAAGAAGACCGTGCAGTTCTCAGGAAAATGGCTTTGAATTATGTTCTAGCCGATGGCAAACTCTACAAGAGAGCTTGGGATGGAATGTTGCTGAGATGTGTGAGTAAGAAAGAGGGAGAAGACATAATGAGGAAGGTGCATGAAGGAGTTTGCGGTCATAATGAGGAAGGTGCATGAAGGAGTTTGCGGTACTCATTTAAGCGGCATGAGCCTAGCAAGAAAAATCTAGAGGCAGGGTTATTTCTGGATACAGATGGAAGGTGACTATATTCAGTATATGCGTCATTGCAAAGCCTGCCAATACCATGACAATAAAAGCCACTTACCTACTGTTGAGCTCCATCCGACAACTCCTTCCTGGCCTTTTTCTGCATGGGGTATAGACGTCATCAGCAAAATCTCGCCAGCGGCATCAAATGGCCATCAGTATATATTGGTTAATGGCCATCAGTATATATTGGTTGCAGTTGACTACTTCTCTAGATGGATTGAGGCTCAATCTTATAAAATCATAACCGCTAAACATGCGGCTAGATTCATCGAACAGAACATTTTCTGTCGCTATGGGGTTCCCCATCACATAGTTATAGATAATGGTTCTCATTTTCAAGCAGACGTTAGCCAATTGCTTTATAGATATAAGGTTGAGCATCACCATTCTTCTCCTTATCGTCCTCAGGCTAATGGTGCAGTAGAAGCTGCGGAATAGGAGATCCAAAAGAATCCTGTCAAAGATGTAGTGAAAGGTATAGGAAGCTGGGCTGAGAAACTGCCTTTCGCACTCTGGGGGCATCGCACTACATTCAAATCAGGTAAATGGAGCCTCTCCTTTCGAAACTAGTATACAGAATGGAGGCAAGTGTTGCCGATAGAGTTCGAAAAGAACCCGTCTCTCAGGGTTTTTGGAGAAAACTGGTCTGACCGAAGAGGAATGGTGTCAAGAAAAGATATGAAGATTTGGCGCCTCCTAGATGGGAAGAAGGTTGAATGCTCGATCCCAGGATCAGAGAGGAGAAAAAGAAGAATTGCTCGTTTTTACAACAAACGGGTAACATCCAAGGGCCATTAAAGAACGGAGATTTGGTGTTGATCAGGTTATTGGACATAGCCCAACATTCATCCTGCTGGGGAAAATTCAAGCCCAATTAGGCATTTGGACCGTCAGAATTCAGAAGGTTACTGGCAAGGAGCCGCTGAATTAGTCACCATGGAAGGAGCCTGTCATCGGATTGTAATCAAGATCAAAGGAAAAGATTTCTACGTTAAATGAATTGATTTCGATTTTAAAAAAAAAAAATGCTAAGGTTGAAAACCCGGAAAAGGGTGGCTTAGCAAAAAATTAAGCTCGCTAGGTTGAAAAACCCGAAAGGGGCGGCCGAGGCAAAAAGTTAGAGCATGAGTAAGAATGATAATAAAATAAAATTTTCGGGAGATAATAAAATAAAATTTTCGGGATCAACGCGTGGTGCTTAGTTTAAATGTAGAATCCATGCCATGTGTTCGTGATAAATTTGTGATTAGTTGCTCAACATCATCAACTCGACTCGAGGGAGAATAGGAAATCAAATAGTTCGAGCAAATAACCATTGTATTAAAATAAATTTCCTCTACTTCTGTATAACGTTGAAAAGAAGTAAGATCAATAAAGGATTTGAATTTCAAAACTTTTCCTTTTTGTTTCGGGGTTGTGGTCGAAGAATGCAAGACCTTCCTATCTGCTCATTTAAATAAGGATCGACTCATGTGGTCTAAAATGTTCCGGCTGCTGGCCCTGCCTACACAATGAGCTCTTTTAAGACATTGATCAGAGGAACGAGTACCATTTTCTCGATGATTTCTCTCGAAAGATCAATATAAAACCATGGATAAAGCCTTAGTACTCATATAGATTCATGCATACATAAAAGAAGGCACACTTATTATTTTTGTCTGATTTATGCAGGTAATGAAATAGTCACCCCATTCTTTGTTATTTCTCAGTGCAAGCTTTTATCTTTATAGAATAATTTATATATATATAAGCTTTCATTTATTAACCCAAGGGCAGGAGGCCCAAATAACTAATGCCACAAACAATTTCGAAAGAAAAAGTTTATTGTCTGTTGTTGATTCATGTTTATTGTCTGTTGTTGATTCATGTTTGCAGAAAACAGGGATTAATAAAGACAGGATCATCAGGATTACTAAGGAGAGCAGATATATTCAAATAAAAAGCTCATGACCTGAAAACAAACAAAACAAAACAAACAATAGTTTATTCCAATGGGGCCCATCAGCAGAGGCCAATCCTCACAAAGCATGATATCATTACGGGGTAAAGAACCAGTTGGCATATGTGGGTGTCACAATGTCCTGCATCATTCCTTCACCTAGATACATGGTGTTTCGATTTCGCCAACGGTCAGCCAAATTGGTTAACAGATGTGATGTTATCAGACCGCTCTCGAAGTTATGAACTCTGGGAACGCGCTGTATCATATTCCATACTAATGGCGATCCTATAGGGGAAATAGGCCATGGAACGGTCTAGACTGGCATAACAACAATAATTAAGTTTCATACTTCGGTTGTGACCAGTCTAATCCTCCAACCAAGGAAAGGTCACCGAATAGTAGGGGTACCCGCCAAAAATCGAAAAAACGTCTTCGATACCGAGATTGAAAAATGGCAGCCCCAGAGTCGGAACCCAAGCGAGCTGGACCGGTAGGAAATCCCAGCGCTTAAATTGTCTAGAGCCCAGGCTTGCAAATAGCAGTGGACAAACGCGATGATGGACATTTTGAAGTCGTGATGTGAAGGGCAATTCCTTACCCAAACACATCGTTTCTCCCATGATAATCATTGAAGACGGTACGATGTACAATTGGCATGACACGAACAAACTGTCAGAAGTCGGAAATCTCCAATTTCGGAGTTGGCGGTCTTCATGACGTACCCATTCAGCAACAAGAAGCAAACAAGCTTCGAATCCAAGAAGGGATCCAGATCCTATGGACAGAACCTTGTTAAGAAAAGGCTCTTAAAGGAAGACCCTGATCCGTGTTTAACCATCAGGGAGGTAAACCGGACACAGGCCGCAAATCTCAGCTAGATCGTATCTACGGACCTAGGGCAGGCCGGAGTTTCATTTGTTCAGGATTGATGTCCATCAAGCACATAGTTCCTCATTAGGTCGGAGTTATTTCAGCGTCTTCAAACCGGTGAGTTATTTCAGCGTCTTCAAACCGGAAAACCATGGTGTTAGGATTGAAGTGTGCAACAAGCCAAGATAAGAAGCCATGATTAGGTTTTAGGTCTTTAAAGTATTTCAACCAGGCAAGTTGGTCCATAGGGGGAATCTGCCATAAGTCATCAGAGATGGATTGGACGAAAGGTGAGACTTGGTTTTTGAAGGCCATGAAAAAGGATTACCTGAGAAACTGATCTGCTTTGAATGCTGGTTGTGAAGAAACCATAAAAGGAGACCTTCATTTATAAAGAAGTAAGGATCTGGCGGACGAACCACCGTCATTACTCGACATGATGTCATACTGTCCATAGTCAGTGAGAAGCATTTATGCATAGATAGTGTTGGCTACTGGATATGTAAGCTGGCATTAATAAAAGGGATAGTTGTACAACAAGGAGGTTGAAATCTTTATGACGCGTCAGTCGCCCTGTCAGGTAAGTACTACGATCCACACGATCCACTGTTATTTAGTAATTGATTTTTGTTGTATTGCATTTTAAATCCATTATTTTATCCTTTATTTATTTCATTTTTATTTCATTTATTTCGTTTATAATAAATTGGTCCATGGGCCACTAACAAGGTGGAGCGCTTTTGTAAATAAGTGGGACACCGTCCTTTTCTTCGTGTTTTTGTATTTGTGTTTTATTTTTGCAGGAACAAGACTTCACAGTTGTAAAATATAAACACACATGACAGTGTATTAAAAGCAAAATATTATGGAAATGTAAATAATATCATATAAAAATAATAACATAACTGTACATAACTGTACAGTCCTCCTAAGAATAATAAAATAATATAACATTTCTAAATTTTCAAAAAATGTCAAAAAAGTGTATAAGACACGGAGCAGGACTACCGCCGCCTACGGCTCGGACCTGCAGCAACTGGATGGGGTGGAGACGGTGGTGCATCATCGGAAGAAGAGCCGTCCTCATCCTCCTCAAAAGAGTCGAGTGGGATGCCCTCAACCTCCAGCCTCGTCCGACTCTACCTCTGCCTGAGCCGGCTGCACAGCGCTAGACTGGCGAGACTGGTGCCTCCGCCCAGCCTACCGATCCTCCAGGTTCCTGTTAAACAACCAAAGATGTGGTAGGAAAGGTTAAACAAAATAATAAGGGAAGAGGATGAAGACACAGGAGGAACTGTTACTCACCCGCTCATATACATCAGAGTAGAGCCGACCGATGTAGGAATAGGGCAAACCCGAATCGCGTGGCCAGATCTCCTGATACCCTCTGGGCCGCATACCAAACAAGAAACATCCATTAAAAAAGCTTTAGGTTAAAGTGCTTCTAACTTTGTGAATTCCGTTTATAACTTACATGTGTAGTGTGCTCAGGTCCAGGCACCGAAGGAGGAGCCTGTCGAAGATCAGGCAGAAGAGGAGCCTGTCGAAGATCAGCAGGAATGATGATGCCCGATCCCAAGCCTAGACCGGGATCCAACACCACCTCCATGCCCGACGGGAAGGGCATGTCACCCAACACTACACCGGCCGGTCCAGCCGGAGCAGCCACGCCACTCGCCTCAGCAGCTGCCTCTGCCCTATAGTGAGCCGCAGTCTTGTGCGTCTTCCGCTCCTGCATTAAATCACAAAAGAAGTGATGGTATCAGTGATCTGAAACAGTGAAAATAATGATGAAAAGTAAATGAGACCGAAGATCAGAAAAGTCACCTGAGTGTACTCAAGAACCTCGGGAAGCCGCGCCTGCATCCAAGAGGCGAAGTAAGAGGGGAAATCACCGATGGACAAAAATTCATTCGCCGAGAAGCCCCTGTACACCGCCTCCAAGTCCTCCCGAGTCAGGCCCTCCAAGAGACACATATGTCGAGGAGGGGCGTGAGGCACCCTCCGCTGCGCTGGAGCTATCGGAGTATCGAAAACTCTCTCTCCGAGGAAGTACCGGTCGACCCAATATCCTCACATCAGCAGCCTCGACCG